GGCAGGGTTAGCTGGAGGTTCAGTACTGGAAGGGGCAGGGTTAGCTGGAGGTTCAGTACTGGAAGGGGCAGGGTTAGCTGGAGGTTCAGTACTGGGAGGGGCAGGGTTAGCTGGAGGTTCAGTACTGGGGTTTGGGCTCAGTGCCTCATGCTTGCTAAGGCAGGTGCTCCACCACTTGAACCACCTCAGTCCCTATCAGGCAACTCAGATCTAGGTGAGGATGTCAAGAGGTTCTGATTCCAAATAAAGGAGGTACATATCCACCTTGGGGCCTTTGCACGGGTGGTTCTGTCTCCTGTGGGGGAAAACATCTTTCTAGATGTTTTTTTCTTCTTCTGCCAGTCCTGGGGCTTGAACTCAGGGCCTGGTCACTGTCCCTGAGCAAAAAAGGCTGGCACTCTACCACTTGAGCCACAGCACCGCTTCTAGCTTTTTCTGTGTATGTGGTACTGAGGAATCAAACCCAGGGTTTCATTCATGCTAGGCAACAATTCTACCACTAAGCCACATTCCCAGCCCCTCTTCCTAGATCTTTGTATAGAGTCTTTCTCAATCATCTGCCTTGGTTCAAATGTCCCTTCCTTGTAAACTTTCCAGTCACCTGTCCCTCCAATGCACCAATCCCTCCACCCATTCCCATTCTTGTCATTGATAATCCTGATGAGATCCTCAAGGACACTTGACTTTGTTGGTAATTCTTTTTACTTTTGTCAGTCGTGGGGCCTGAACTCTGGGTCTGGGCGCTGTCCCTCAGCTTGAAAAGCTAGTGCTCTATCACTTGAGCCACAGTTCCACACTGGTGCCACACTTCCAGCTTTTTCTGCTTATGTGGTGCTGAGGAATCGAACCCAGGGCCTCAGGCATGCAAGGCGAGCGCTCTACCGCTGAGCCACCTTCCCAGCCCCTTTTGTGGGTAATGTTCTATTCTCTCCATCAGATACGCTCCCCGATGGCAGGGTCCCCATTCTTCCCACTAAATCTCAGGACGTAGCCCAGTCCCGAGTGTAGGACAGACTTCATGTGCTCCAAGAGTCTTTGGGAAGTGGGGGAGACCACGGGGGGGGGCGATGTGAGCCCTGGACCCCAGCCGCGGCGGCAGGCCTCTCAGGACACGGTAGCTAAGGGAGAAGGGGCCGTGTCCTGTGTGGGGGCTGCGGGGCACCAAGAGGAACCACGACCCTGCAGAGCAGCGCCCGGCCGGCGACCTCAATCCGTGCACAGGCGGAGTCGGAGAAGATTGGCTCCTCCGGGCTCCCGTGGTACGGAACAGACGCGCGGACATGGCAGCACCCTCGGACGCTGGCGCCGGTCACGTGACCGGGGGCTTCCGGCCCGCCGCGGGCTCCGGAAGGAGCTCTTCCGGTGCTGGCAGAGGCGCGTCCGGGGCCGCGCGGACCCGGCCGGGAGCGGGGGGCGGATGGAGGCGTCCCCGGAAGGGAGGGCGCCCGCCGCGGCGCTGGCCGCCGTGCTGAAGCACAGCTCGGCCTTGCCGCCCGAGCGCGCCCAGGTCCGGGGCTACGACTTCAGCCGCGGCGTGGACTACCGCGCGCTCCTGCAGGCCTTCGGCACCACCGGCTTCCAGGCGACCAACTTCGGGCGCGCCGTGCAGCAAGTCAACGCCATGGTGCGGCCCGGGGGCGGGACTTCCTGCGTGAGGGGGCGTGCCCTCCGCGAGAGGCCCAATAAGGTGGAGGGGAGGCGGGGCCGGCCCTGGGGCGGGAGCGCAGTGCTGGGGGCGAATGGGGTCTAAGCGGGCGGCCGCTTCTCAGCCAGGGCAAAGCGCGGGGAGATGGACGAAGCCCGGGAGGGAGCCGGAGCGCCTCAGTCAGGAGCTCAGTCGCTTTCAGTGGACTTCCAACGGGGAAGAGGACTGATGCTCTCTGATTCCCACAGGGAACCGAATTGCACGTGTGCCCTGAGGTCGCCACTAGCAAAGGGGTAGGGGCCGCAGCGGGGGCAGGCCTTGGTCTCCGTGTCCTTGAGTGGCTAGAACCAAGAGTAGAATCTGGCTTCGGGGTCCCACCTGGGGTCCTGGGGATGGGGTCTGGGGCCTTTCTACTCAGATCGAGAAGAAGCTGGAGCCACTGGCGCAGCAGGAAGATGAGCACGCAGACCTGACTCAGAGCCGCCGCCCGCTCACCGGCTGCACCATTTTCTTGGGCTATACCTCCAACCTCATCAGTTCAGGCCTCCGGGAGACCATTCGTTACTTGGTGCAGCACAATATGGTAAGGATCGCATGGTGGCTCAATTATTGAGCAATGAAACTCATCGGTCATCTCCATAACATGGGGAGATAGGGCTTTTTTTTTTCTTTTTTGCTGGACCTAGAACGTGAATTCAAGACCTGGGCATTGTGTCCCTTGACTTTTTCCCTCAAGCTCGGTGCTCTGCCCCTTGGGTCACAGCTGAGCTTGGCTTTGTAGCAGGCTCCACACGGAGGGTCATAGGTGAAGGCTGATGTTTGGAGTCCTGCCAACAATGAAGGCCAACCTCACTGCTGTGTCTGCAGGTGGATGTGTTGGTGACCACGGCCGGGGGTGTGGAGGAGGATTTCATCAAGTGCCTGGCCCCCACCTACTTGGGCGAGTTCAGCCTCAGGGGAAAGGAACTCCGGGAGAATGGGATCAACCGGTGAGAGCCACAAAAGATATTGGGCAGAACTGGGCTGAGGAGGTCCCGCAGACTGACTCCCATGTCTCCTGCCCCCAGGATTGGGAATTTGTTGGTGCCCAATGACAATTACTGCAAGTTTGAAGACTGGCTGATGCCCATCCTGGACCAGATGGTTCTGGAGCAGAACACGGAGGTGACGCTGGCATGTTGTATGTGTATGGGAGTGGCGCCAGAATAGTGGAGTCAGGGCAGGTGTGGACTAAAACTCCCCCCCCCCCCCCAGGGTGTGAAGTGGACGCCTTCGAAGATGATTGCCCGTCTAGGCAAGGAAATCAACAACCCGGAGTCAGTGTATTATTGGGCCCAGAAGGTGAGGGCTGGGCAAGGGCAGAGTGAACCCCAGAATCTGAAAAGTAACAAAAGCCTTTGCTTTTGCTAGGCATTCCGTATGAGTTTGCTCACATCTTCCTCCTCTTGAGTCAGGAAGTGTTGTCACCCTAGTTCCACAGCTAGTGAAACCCTAGAGATGCCACTGGGATGGGAGCCAGGGCACCCCCTGCAGGCTTGGAGCTGCAGTCGCTGCCCTCCCTGTCCTCCCTCAGAACCACATCCCCGTGCTGAGCCCAGCGCTCACTGATGGCTCAATAGGAGACATGATCTTCTTCCACTCCTACAAGAACCCAGGCCTGGTACTGGACATCGTGGAGGGTGAGTGCTGGAGCCCCAGGGGAGTGGGGAAAGGACCCACTGAGACCAATGCCCAAGCTCAGCCTTCTCTCCACAGACCTGCGGCTCATCAACACACAGGCCATCTTTGCCAAGCGCACTGGGATGATCATCCTGGGTGGAGGTGTGGTCAAGCACCATATTGCCAACGCCAACCTCATGGTGAGTGGAGTGGTCCCTGCCCACTGTGTAGACATGGGGTCCAAGGCATAGGCCACAGCTGTGACACATACCTGTAGTCTCAGCTGAGGAGGCTGAGGCAGGAGGATTGCTTGGGCCCAGGAGTTTGATGCCAGCCTGGGCAACACAGACCCTGAGTGTAGTGTGGATTGGATGAGCCAGGCACTGGTGGCTCACGCCTATAATCCTAGCTACTTACTAGGCTGAGATCTGGGGATAGCAGTTTGCAACCAGTCTGGGCAGAAAGAAAGTCTTTGAGACTCTTTATCTTCAATTAACAGCTAGAAAGCCACAAGTGGAGATGTGGCTCAAGTGGTAGAGCAAGAGCCTCAAGCACAAGTTTAGGGACAGGGCCCAGGACCTGAGTTCAATTCCCCCTTCTCCCTCTCCCCCGGCCAAAATAAAAAAAAGCCAGATGAGTAAGGGGCAGAAATAGGCTTCCAAGAAACTGGTGTGAGCAGAGGCTTTGGGAAGGTGTCTGGCTAAGGCCCTGGGTGACTGAAGCTGGCAGTGAGCAGCTAAGCGGCTGCAGGGGGCCTGGCCAGTGCCTTGGTGTTGCTACAGGGCTTCTCTGGGGTGAAGCGCTTTGCTTTGCTGAGGTAAAAGGGGCCTCCAGCGCCCTCTGATGGCCATGAAAGGAACAGAGAGATGGTGATGGGATGAATGAACCAGGACCAAAGGTGGCACTGGAGGGGGTTGGGTTTGGAGGTTTTCTGAGGTAGGTAGAGCAGAGGGTTGTTCACAGAGGTGCGGTATCCATTAGGGTTTGATGTGTGCTTAAGACTGGGTCTCTAGCCGGGCGCTGGTGGCTCACGCCTGTAATCCTAGCTACTCAGGAGGCTGAGATCTGAGGATCGCGGTTCAAAGCCAGCCTGGGCAGGAGAGACCGTGAGACTCCTATCTCCAATAAACCACTAGAAAACCGGAAGTGGCGCTGTAGCTCAAGTGGTAGAGCGCTCGCCTTGAACTGAAGAGCTGAGGGACAGCGCCCAGGCCCAGAGTTCAAGCCCCACGACCGACAAAAAAAAAAAAAGACTGGGTCTCTATCACTTGAGCCACAGCTCCATCCACTTGTGCCTTTTTGGTGGTTAACTGGAGATAAGAATCTCAGACTGCTGGGCGCTGGTGGCTCATGCCTGGATTCCTGCTCAGGAGGCTGAGATCTGAGAATCACGGTTCAAAGCCAGCCAGGGCGGGAAAGTCCACGAGACTCTTATCTCCAAAAAACCACCAGAAAACCGGAAGTGGCGCTGTGGCTCAAGCAGTAGAGTGCTAGCCTTGAGCTGAGGGACAGCGCTCAGGCCCAGAGTTCAAGCCCCATGACCGACTCCCTCCCTCCCCCCTAAAAAACAGATGCAACCCTGTGAGCACCTGCACACAGATTGCAGGTGATCTTGTGCAGTTTCTAGCTTGCTTGTGGTTTGTGACTGGTCACAGATCCACTGTGGAATTTTCCACCATGGAATCTTGGCAATATCTTGGGTCTGAAGTGTTTTTGGATTCTGGGAACCACCAGGGCTCTTATTCCTCTAGCCGACCCTGACTCCAGGCTTCGTCAGATCTTTCCTGATGAGGGACTTGCCCCTCAGCCCCTCAGTGCTGGCTGACCAGGCCTGCCCTGCCCGGCCCCTCCCATTCTCTCCCTCCAGAGGAACGGGGCTGACTACGCAGTATACATCAACACGGCCCAGGAGTTTGATGGCTCTGATTCGGGTGCCCGGCCTGATGAGGCTGTGTCCTGGGGCAAGATCCGGATGGATGCACAGCCGGTCAAGGTAGAAGCTGGCTGTCTGGGCCCTGGGTTTCCCGGGTCCCCTGGCTTCCCCGCTCACCCTGTCTCTCTGCAGGTCTATGCTGATGCCTCTCTGGTCTTCCCCCTGCTCGTGGCTGAGACCTTCGCCCAGAAAGCAGATGCCTTTGCCCCTGAGAAGAAGGAGGACTGAGAAGAACCGGGAGGAGCCAGGAAGGCCACGCCCCTTTATTTATTAGTTTGTACACAAGCCCCTCCCAACTCCATGGCCCACACTGTCTGGGGAATAAATGGTCTCTGTTGGTGCTTCCGTCTTGGTCCTTGGGCTCAGCCCGCCCCATCCTCCACTTCAAAGGCCTCTTCCCGCCAGCACTGGATGCTGCCCCCCATTGCTGTTAGCAGGCAGGGCTCTGTGGGGTGGTATGCCAGCGACTGTACCACACCGGGACCCACAGGCAGGGTCAGCGCCAGGGCACCCTGGGAATCAAGGAATAGTTAGCAGTGGCCAGCTACCCCACCCCAAAGCTCTCAACCTTCAAACATGGACCAGACCAGACACCCCCCTCCAGCGCCCTCTACCTCTGGGCCTAGGCACTGTCCTTACCGCTCCATTTGCACAAGGCTTGCATTCTAACACTGGAGCCATAAAAAGCCACTTCTGGGGTTAGTTGGAGATGAGAGATTCTCACAGGGGCTTTTCTGCCCCAGCTGGCTTCAAGCCTTGATCCTCAGATCTCAGCTTCCTGACTAGCTGGGATTACAAGCCTGAGCCACCAGCCCCTGTTAGCAGTGCATATGTTTAATGTAGCACAATAGATATCACAGACACAGAAGCAACAGGCCAAATGACTATGGACTGCAACTTGCAAAATTTTGAGCATATAAATATTTCTATTTTGGTCTGGGAAGGTGGCTCAGCAGTAGAGTGCTTCCCCCTTGCATGCATGAGGCCCTGGGTTTGATTCCTCAGCACCACATAAGCAGAAAAAGCTGGAAGTGGCGCTGTGGCTCAAGTGGTAGAGCGCTAGCCTTGAGCTGAAGAGCTGAGGGACAGCGCCCAGGCCCAGAGTTCAAGCCCCACGGCCGACCAAAAATAAATAAAAAGAAAGAAAAAGATGGGTGTGGGCCGGGAAGGTGGCTTAGTGGTAGAGTGCTTGCCTAGCATGCACGAAGTCCTCAGTACCACATATACATACACACACAGAAAAAGCTGGAAGTGGTGCTGTGGCTTAAGTGGTAGAGTGCTAGCCTAAGGGTAGTGCCGAGGCCCTGAGTTCAAGCCCCAGAACTGGCAAAAAACAACAAGAAAAAGATGGGTGAAGGTGGTTCATGCGTGTAATCTTAGCTACTTAGGAGGCTGAGATAGGAGGATTGTGATTCAAAGCCAGCTCCAGCAGGAAAGTACCTGTGAGACTCTTATCTCCCATGAACCACTTAAAAACTCGGAGTGGTGCAGTGGCTCAAGTGGCAGAGGACCAGCCTTGAGCACAGAGATGCGAAGAACAGCCCTGAGTCAAGACCCACAATGAATTAAAAAACCAAACAAAAAAAGGCAGAACACAGCCACTGGCCTCCAATCCCCCCGATCCCCATGCGACTAACCTAAGCGGGGATGGCCTGTCCCCAGCCCAAGCGCAGGCCGGGGCTGGCGGCCACACCCGAGGACACTCGGGGATCAATCAAGCGTGCTGACCTCTCTGCCATCCGCTGCCCTTGCCCAGGGGTCTCTTCTTTCTTGTGGCTCAGCCTGGTTTCGTGGCCCTATCTGACCTTCATCCGGCTGCTGCCACTTTCGCAAAGTCCTGTTTGGTACCAGGGCTTTACCTCAGGGCTTTGCTTGTTCAGCTTGCTTGCTTAGTTGGCACTCTACCGCTCCAACCACACCTGCAGCCCTACTTTCTGTTGACTAATGGAAGATAAGAGCCTCGGGACCTTTTTACCCAGGCTGGCTTTGAACCCTGATCCTGCCAGGTCTCATCCTCCTGACTAGCTAGGATTACAGGTGTGAGCTACAGCACTGGGCTCTAAAGTCTCGTGACTGGTGTATGTGCCTTGCCTCTGTGTCTCCGCATATGCTATTCCCTTTGCCTGGAATGCATTTCCGGCTCTGTCATTCCTTTTGGACCCTATTATTCACTCTCCTCAGACCCAGGCTGGCAGGGCTGGCAGAGGGGCTGGGGGGGGGGGAGTTAAGGCTCACCTCCACCAGGTCCCAGAAGTACACCTTCCCATCCTCAGAGCAGCTGACCACGTGTGTGTCGCGCTCACTCAGGCAGCAGTCCAGCTTGTACTCTTGGTTCTTGTGGCCCGTGTACCTGGGGTGGGCGGGACGAGGTCTCGGTGAGGACCCTGGGCTGAGGGAGGGGAAGGACCCCAGCACTGTGCAGACTCACTCGCCCAACAGCTCCCCGGTGTCTTTGTCCAGAAGCCGCAAGGTGGAATCCAGGCTGGACACCAGGATGCACTGCCCGTCCCGGCTGAAGCAGGTGCAGGTGATGGGGCCTGGAGGGAGGACAGGATAGAGGGGGTGAGGCTGGGGTGCCCCTGGCCACTGCACCATCTCCCCTGTCTGTTCCCCAAGCCTGGGCCACACTCACTGCCCACATAGTCTGAGAAGAGCTGCCCCATCCTCAGGTCATAGCGCCTCACGCGGCCGTCCACGGAGCTGCGGCAGACGGTGGGCCAGAAGGCCAGGGTTAGTTCAGGCAACGGGGTTGCTCCTCTTCTAGCCCAGCATCCTGTGAGCAGGGCCGGCCCTGCTCTTCCCGTGTAGGACTGGGATTTGGAGGTTCTGGTGCGAGACTCAGGCGCAACATTACCTGTCTCCGAGGATCTACAGCCCCCTTTCCAAGCCCCTAGGGCCCTCCTCCATCCCCCTTCTACAGATCAACTGCCACAAAAGCCCACCCTGTGAATCTACCTGCAGATCAAAGATAGCTGATCCAGGGCTGGGAAGGTGGGCTCAGTGGGAGAGTGCTTGCCTAGCATGCATGAAGCCCTGGGTTTGATTCCTCAGTACCACAGACACAGAAAAAGCTGGAAGTGGTGCTGTGGCTCAAATGGTAGAGAGCTAGCTTGGGACAGCGCCCAGGCCCTGAGTTCAGGGCCTTTCCCAGGACTGGCAAAAAAAAAAAAAAAAAGCAGAGCTGGGTGGGGTGTAGCTTGCTTGGTGTTAATGAAGCCTCATGATCCACCCCCAGTGCTTCCCCCAAAAAACAAATCAAACAAAACACTGCATCTGTACCAAGTGTGTAGATGTTTTCTTTGTTGCTAATGAGAATTGTCCCGTTCCCCCCAGCCGAACGCACGTCTTGATCTCGAGTGCTTGCTCTTCCCTCAGTTTTACACTAGGTGGCACCCTCCCCAAGCTTTGAGTCTCCCAACATCACAGGGCTTGGGCTCACCCCACCAACCCTACTACAACTCTCTAAAGTGCCCCAAGAGAGCTTCTCTCGTGCCTTCTCCAGTTCCCTTGGTTCTTATCATCACTGCTTCGATTGCGTTAGAAGGAACTTCCCTCTCATGCCCACTGAAACTGGCCTGCTGGGGGAGTCGCTCCTGAGGAAGTTTAGATAACAGCTTGGTTTCAGTTAGGTGATATGGAATTTCAGTGTGGTCAACTTGTGTGTGCGTGTGTATGTGTGTGTGCGTACAGGTACTGGGTGCTGTCCCTAAGTTGTGTGTGTGTGTGCGTACAGGTACTGGGTGCTGTCCCTAAGTTGTGTGTGTGTGTGTGTACAGGTACTGGGTGCTGTCCCTAAGTTTTTTTTTGCTCAAGACTAGCACTCTACCACTTGAGTCCCAGTTTTGACTTTTTGGTGGCTCACTGGAGCTAAGAATCTCATGGACTTTTCTGCCTGGGCTGGTTTTGACCTGTGATCCTCAATCTCAGCCTCCTGAGTAGCTAGGATGACAGTGTGAGCTGCTGGCACCCAGCTTATCGGCTGTATTTCTTTCTTTTTTTTGGTTGTAACCGGGGTGGCCTATGATTTGGGACTGACTATCCTGCGCTAACTTACCCCCTTCTGGGGTTACAGGCCTGGGATGTAGCTCCTGGACAGCCAGAGGCAGCTTCTTCCACTAGGAGATCTACAAAGGCCTCCTCAAGTGTGCAGCATTCTCACTGGGGTTTGCAGGCTGAAAGCAGACAAATGTGCAGTCCAAGGAGCAAGGTGTAAAATAACTCTGACAAGAGCCATCGCTTTGTATTTAGCTGGCTATACTGGACCCAACAGCCTAGGCTAAAAAACATCAAAATGATACAACTTTGGTGGGGGGGTCGGGGAGGATGGGATGGGAAGGGGAAACAAAGGAGGAGGCTACAATGCTTGATAAGAAATGTACTCATTATCTTACCCATGTAATTGTAATCCCTCTGTACAGTATTTTCACAATAAAAAAGAATTATAAAAAAAAACAAACAAAAAAAAATCAAAATGAAGCAAGGTGCTGGTGATTTGAGAATCAAAGTTCAAAGCCAGTCTGGGTGGACAAATTCCAGACTCTTATCTCCAATTAACCAGCAAGAAGCTAGAAGTGGAGGTGTGGCTCAAGTGGCAAGTGCTAGCTTTGATCAAAAAAAGCAAAGTGAATGCAAGGAGCATATTCTTAGAAGAGGAACACAAAGGCTCAATGCCGAGCCCTAGCACCTGAATACACATAAAGGAAGTTGGCCACATTGAAGTTACACATTACAAAACTGAAACTGGTATCTGAACTTCCGAAAAATCAGGAGAGGAACTATGGCCAAATTTCCCCCAGCAAGCCAGTTTCAACTGTCTGGTAGAGAATTTCCTTTTTTCCCTTAACTCTTACACAAAAAGGTAGTTATGGTAAGCACTTCCTTTCCTTTCATTTATTTAAAAAAAATAACATACATAAAAATTCCGGGCCAGGCACTGGTGGCTCATGCCTGTAATAAGTGGTAGAGTGCCAGCCTTGATCAAAAAAGCAAAATGAACCAAAGGAGGATATTCTTTCTTTTTTTGTGTCGGTTGTGGGGCCTGAACTCTGGGCCTGGGCGCTGTCCCTCAGCTCTTCAGCTCAAGGCTAGTACTTTACCACTTGAGCCACAGCGCCACTTCTGGCTTTTTCTGCTTATATGGTGCTGAGGAATTGAACCTGGGGCCTCATGCATGCAAGGCAAGTGCTCTACCACTGAGCCACCTTCCCAGCCCCCAAAAGGAGGATATTCTTAGAAGAGAAACACAAAGGCTCAATGTCTATGTGCATCTGATCATATAAAACATAATATTTATCAAAATGAACTCCAGGAAGTAGAAATGAGGGTTTTTCCTTTGTTGTTTCTTTTCTTTTTGTCTTTGTTTATCTGTCTTTGGGAGGGTATGTGGGGAAGCACAGAAATGAAGGGACGATGGGTGAACAAACGCAGCAGTGGCACTCAACAGACACTATGTGGAAAATGAACTACACAACCTCTGAATGGTGATTGGAAGTAAAAACTTGGAGAGAGTACGGGAAGGGGTGAGACTTTGTCCAAAAAGAAATGTATGCCAAGCACTGGTGGCTCATACCTGTGATCCTAGCTACTCAGGAGGCTGAGGTCTGAGGATTGTGGGTCCAAACCAGCTTGGGGAGGAAAGTCCAAAGACTTATCTCCAATTAACCACAAAAACAATGGAAGTGGCGCTGTGGCTCAAGTGGTAGAGCGCTAGCCTTGAACTGAAGAGCTCAGGGACAGCGCCTAGGCCCAGAGTTCAAGACCCCCATGACCACCTCCCCCCCAAAAAATGTACTCATTATCTAATTTATTAACTGTAACCCAGGTTTCTAGGTACACTATGCACTTCTAGGATCCCATCCATCAGCTTTATAAGATTGAAGAAAAAACAAAAACAAGAACAGTTTGGGAAACCCTGACTTTAAGTCTGTTCTCTGCCAAAAATGGGGCCCAAAACTTTTTTTTTGGCTTGCACTCAGGGTCTGGAGCTTGCTAGTTAGGCCCGCCTATTTTCTCAGCCACACGACACTCTCCCATCATCCAAATTCAGGGCCTTCTGTATGCCACCACCAGCCCAGGTGCTTAGACTCTAAGCACCGAGAAGCGATTTGGTTTCCAGTGGTCGCCAGGGGTGGACAGAGGCCCTGCACCCACTCACCCTGCCAGGACCTCATGGTCTGACACCTTTACACTGGATACGCCGTCCCTGGCTTCGTCCAGCTTCTGCACGGGCTCGGGCCTCCTAGACCGGCAGTCCCAGCAGCGGATACTGGAATCAATAGAGCCTGGGAGGCCAGCATGAAGGTGGTCAGGTTAGGGGTGCTGGACAGCCTCCTGCTTCCTCCTACCAGGCCTCAGACTTACCCGACAGGATGACTGTGGCCTCTTCATTAAACTGCACCGTGTTCACCTTCTGAGAAACAGACATTGCTACTCAATAGGAAGTAGGCGTTGGAAGACAAGGCTAAATATGGGTCCCCAGAGGCGCAGGTGGCTCATGCCTGTAATCATAATCCTAATTACTTCAGGAGGCTGACTTGAGGAGACCAGTGCTGGCAGGAAAGTCCTCGAGACTCTTATTTCCAATTAACCACCAAAATGCCGAAAGTGGGGCTGTGGCGCAAGTGGCAGATCACTAGCCTTGAGTGAAAAAGCTGAGAGACAGCGTCCAGGCCCTGAGTTCAAGCTCCAGTACCGGCAGAAAAACCAATAAAACAACACAGGGGTCCAAGGAGTAGAGGGTCGCAAGTGAGAGGTTCCCCGTGACCGGCCGTGCGGACAGGGACATCTGGGGACCGCTGTAGTGGATGTCCTGGGCACCACCCCTCCGCCACTCCCACGCTCAAGAAGGCCTCCCGCTGGCGCTTACCCCCGCGTGGCCTCTGAATTTGCGCACGACCTGCCCAGAGGCCACGTCCCACAGCACCACCGCCTTGTCCCCGCCGCCGGAGCAGAGATGGCTGTTGTCAAAGGAGCTGGAGACCAAGAAAGGGGTCAACGCCGACTTCCGATCGCTCGCAGCCTCGGCGCCCGCGTCCCGGGGCCTCGCCCCCAGCTCACCCGGCTGCGTCCAGCACCTCGTAGCCGTGACCGCTGTACGCCCGCAGCAGCGTCCCCCGCAGCGGGTTCCACAGCTTCAGGGTCTTGTCGCTGCCGCACGTCAGGCAGTAATGGCCGTCCGCTGGGGGACATCAGGCTGGGGATCAGCGGGCCGCGCGCCTCGGGGG